TATAGAGAAAGTTTTTTTTTTTTTTTTGTTTTCTTTAATTTACCTTCTTTAGCCATTAGGTTTATAACTACTTTTAATAAGTAAATACGTTTGTGACACGACTATGGATTTGACTAAAAATACAAACCAATCCAAAATGAATAGATTTGATAAATCATTACCTAAACTTGTATTAATTTTTTTTATTATATTGGTTCATCTAAAAACCGGCCAAATTGAACCAAATCTTATCTAAAAAACAAAACCCGACCCACTTTCTACTCTCGATATATGTGTATAACACCATGTTATATGACTTGAAAGGGTGGCAATGGTGACAATATGATGAATCTGTATTTTAGTTGGTGGAGATAGTAATGGACTAATGGGGTTTGTTGGATTGGCTTCTAATCTAAGCTAAACTCATAGTCTTTAATATCATCATCATTATTAAAATCATACTTTCGCTTTTCCAATATTCTACTCAAAATCCTAGTCGTTAAATCATAGGAGTATCACCACTCTCTTTTTCCTACGGTATAACCATGCAAATTGCGTAGAATATTTCTTGTTTTTTAGTATGATGGCAATCTTTGTATTGCGATGGTTGTGGGGATGTGTGTTTTTGGTGTTTTGTGTGGTCGTGTTCTCGGATATTGACAATGGTGATGGTAAGTGAGTTAAATCTTTTCTTGATATTGGCTATCAAGTGGTTTAGTTAATGTTTGTGGTTTGAACTTTTTATTGTAGTGGAGGCAATTCGAGCTTTGAAAGATCAATGGAGAAATACACCACCAAGCTGGAGAAGGTCTAATGATCCGTGTTCGTGGGAAGGTGTCACTTGTAGTGACACAAGGATCATCTCATTGTCAGTCTACTTTCCTTTTCTACAAAACAAGTTTTTAATGTGTTTGACATACATTGGTCTATGGCTCAGAGACCCGATGTCAATAAGAAAAAATTGCATTTTTTTTTTCTGTCCAAAAAGATGGAACAAGGTGGGACAAAGTCTCGCTCTTGACCTCTCATTTGTGCAAAAGACGTAAATGACCTCATCATTGTCATCATTTAAAATATCCCCTAAAGTTTATGTAGTCCGGTATTTGTCTCATCTCATATGGTCCGGTCAGTGAGACATGAGACCTGATGAGACAGAGACTGAAGTAGATAAGAATACACAAGCTTTTACGGGTTATTTTTAATGATGAGGACATTCACGTCATTTGAATAAATGAAACATATAGAGTGTGAGAGTGTTCTTGTTTCGTCTTCTCATATGAGACCAAAAGCTGCAATTTTTGTCATATTGACATCAGACTCAACTCCACACCTCCAGTTGAATATGCGAGTTGAATGCAAACACATGCAACTTTTTTTTTTCCATATTATGTAACGAGGCCTGAACATAATAAAAAGTGAAAGGAAAATGAGTTTTAGCAACCATTTTTGTTGTAAATGAGGCCTAAGTGTTGGTAAATTTTTCTTTCATTTGAGTTAAGTTATTTACTTGTTGGGTTGTTCTTACACAGGGGATTGTCGAGCATGGGATTGGTGGGTCAGCTTGTTGGCGACATTGGTGGGCTCACTGCGTTAACATCCTTGTGAGGAACATTATATTTCAACTCACATTTTATAATTCATAAATCATAAGATATATATAAAAACAAATATTTATTCTTATTATAGGGACTTGTCATTTAATGGTGGACTCACTGGTTCCATATCTCCAAGGATAGGTGATCTGAAAATCCTTAGCATTTTGTGAGTCCTCAAATAACTTGTGTTTTTTAGTACTAGTGTTTAATGACATCTGTTTACTAACGGTTTATACTGTGTTTGGTATGAACTATGCTAACTGATATCAATACGTTGTCCCGATCTAAAAGGTCGAACAAGGAGAGATAACATGACAAATGACGTTTTTGTCCTTCTCATCCTCATTATCATATATATCCGTACAAAGCTTTTTCATTTAATATATTGAGGATGATGAGGGTATTCAAGTCTTTTTGTATGGACAAGGGATTGAAAGTGAGGCTACATTCCTCATTTTTGGGTTGGAGAAAAATAAATATAACTTTTATCACATTGACATGTCTCATACTTCTCGAGTCAAAGACCAATTTATGTGACGCTTATTTTCATGTTATGTCACAGAATCTTGGCAGGTTGTAGCTTTACAGGAAACATTCCACCTGAATTGGGAAATCTTCAAGAGCTATCATTTTTGTATGAATATCTTAGACCCTATTTCTTTCTTCTTTTTTTCGCATTGGATGTTGTTTTGATAAACTACTGTCTAGAAAAATGGCATTTAATAAATATTTTTAAAGTTAAGGACAAATTCACGAAATGGACAAAAAAAAATTAAAACGCTAATTTGTAAAAGAAATTACACTTAAAGCAAAAAGTCTACATGTTTTTTTTTTTTTTTTTTTATTTTTTTTTTTTTTTATTTTTTTAAATCCTCATTACTACGTGTATAGGTAAAGTGACCAAATTAGTTGGGATAGTTGTCTAGACGGATAAAGTATCGTTGCATAAGGTATATAAGTATTCTAGATAGGATGAAGCAGACTCTATGATCATTTTACTCTTACATTTGAAAATAAATTTTACTATATTCATAAATTTTAACATGAGATGAGTTAAGAAGTATAAAAACAAAAGGACAAATAGGTAAGTGGTTAGTGTCTTAATACATTAAGTCAGGTTTTGTGCTTAACCCATCAACTCATTCTGTCTTAATTAAGTCCATTAAGTAAAAAAGAAACAACCCCTTGACTTTGTAATTTTGTCTACTAAATCGTTTTTTCTGTATTAAATCCAAAAGGAACACTTTTATATACAACTTTTGATTAACATGTGGCAAACAGGGCTTTGAACACAAACAATTTAACCGGTGAAATCCCTTCTTCATTGGGATCTCTCTCCAAACTTTATTGGTTAGACATCGCGGAGAATCATATCACTGGATCCATTCCCATATCAACCGACACCAAACCGGGATTAGATCAACTAAAACATGCTAAGCATTTGTAAGTACCTTTCACTTTATTTTACTTCAACACAACTTACAAAAAACATCAACATACTTTTCCTTTTTTTTTAAACTAATAATAGCAACATATTTTATTCTGAATTCACAGCCATTTCAACAAGAACAGACTTTCGGGTGGAATCCCCGAGCAACTTTTCAATGGCGACATGGTCTTGATACATGTGTAAGTCGAAATATGTCACTTTTTTTTGGTGATTCAAATTTTGATTGTTTAAATTTGCAACAACAGATTGTTTGATGGAAACCAATTAACGGGAAAAATCCCGTCCACAATTGGATACGTGCAGACACTAGAGGTCCTGTAAGTAACATCAACTACATATTACTAATGAAGTGATATAAATAATGTTTAAATATATTTGAGAAAATGATGATTTTAATGGGAAAACCCTTCTTTCCTAACTTTATATAATAGGTTATTGTTTTTGTATTAAGTTAAAGTAAATATCCACATATATAGCTTACTGGATTAAGTCATGTAAACAGTAGACTTGATAGAAACGCCTTATCAGGCGACGTGCCATTGAACCTCAACAACCTTACGAGCCTAAGTGAATTGTGAGTACATCTTTTTTTATACAATGGAAACCATAAATTGGATACCCGTTTTGACTTGCCATTTTGTTGTATAATTTTAGGAATTTAGCTCACAACAATCTATTTGGAGATTTACCCGACTTAAATGGGATGAACGTCCTGAGTTATGTGTAAGTTAATCCATTTTCTGTATTTGATGTGCATTAGACTGAGACTGAAACTCACACTCACACTTTGTATACAATTTTTTGTATCACCCAAAACGATGGGACATATACTCACTCTCAATCTCTGGTCTATTCAAAAGACGTAAATACCCCTCTCATCCTCTTCATTGAGAATAGCCCTAAAAAGCCATTCCTTCGAGAGTCATAATATGTCCAATTATTTTTTAGTTGTTATGGTTGATTTATGTAGGGACTTGAGTAATAATTCATTTCATGGATCGGACCCTCCAATTTGGTTATCTACCTTGCCATCATTAAGCACTTTGTGAGTTCTTCAAACAAAATATGATTCTGAAAATTTTCTTACATACAAATTAATTTTAAGTTGAACTTTGGTTATTTTTGGTAAGGGTAATGGAATTTGGTTCACTTAAAGGAAAACTACCACAAGATCTTTTCAGTTTATCAGGAATTCAACAAGTGTAAGATTCCAAAACTTTGACTTTGGAGGTCAAACTTATTCGTTTCAGTATCCGATTTTAATGTCCCGAGAAGGGCGTTTTTGACCTTTTAAAATTCATGGGGTTGTTGAACAGGAAACTAAAGAACAATGAGCTGAATGATACATTGAATATGGGAAGCAGCATTAGTGAGCAATTACAACTGGTAGATTTGCAAAGCAATGAGATTGAAGCTGTGACACTGAGTAGTGAATACAAAAACACATTGGAGTGAGACTTTTTCATTTACAATTAAAGCTAAATAGCAATGTCATTTTTGTGTTGACCAGTTTCCAAGCTGACATGGCAAAAAATGACACCTCAGCATTTGTGTAGCTGTCTGAATTTACAACTCAATCTCGAATCCAAACGACTGCATTTATTATTTTTTTTTCCAAAATAATTTCAGGTGCCTTGCTGTCTTCTACAATGGGATCCACTTATCAAAAACTGACACCTCAGCAAAAAAAAATTAAAGAAAAATGCAGCTGCTTGGAATTAAATTCGCAAAAATCAACACCTCACCCAAAAAAAATAATAATAACATAAAAAAAAAACTCCAAGTAGTTGTGTTTTTTGAAGTTTTTTGTTGAGGTGTCAAGTTTTGCCACGTAGGCGTCATGTGTCACACCACATAGCAAAAATTGACACCTCAGCAAAAAAAAAAAAAATCAAAATATGCATAAACTTGGATTTTTTGTTATGGTGTCAATTGCCATGTAGGAAAAATAATTAACACCTCACCAACAAATTCAAATAAAAATTCATTTTTGAATCCAAAAAGCTGCCTTTTTTGAAATGTTTGCTGAGGTGTCACTTTTTTCCACGTGTCTGCCTTGTAGACACCACATCAGCTAGGAAACCGGTCAAACAGATAATTTTTTTTTTTTGTTTTTTTGCTGAGGTGTCAAATTCTTTCCTTGTGTCTGAAATTTAGTCTTTTGCTTTCTTTATTTTCAGACTATCTGGAAACCCTGTGTGTGATACAGCTCTAGCACACACAACTTATTGCCATGTTCAACAACAAACCTCAAAGGCATATTCCACAAGCTTAGCAAACTGTGGGAGTAAATCGTGTCCATTGGATAAAAAACTCAGCCCTCAAACATGTGAATGTGCTTACCCGTATGAAGGCACGTTGTACTTTCGTGCACCCTCGTTTAGAGAATTATCAAGTGTTAATATTTGGCATTCTTTAGAAATGAGCCTATGGGTGAAACTAGGCCTTACACCTGGATCAGTTTCCCTCCAAAATCCGTTCTTCAATTCGGATGATTATCTTCAAGTGTATTTGCAACTTTTTCCAGGAAAGGGTAACCATTTTAACAGGTCTGAGGTTCGAAAAATGGGGTTTTATTTAAGTAATCAAACGTATAAGCCTCCTACAGGATTTGGACCATATTTTTTCATAGCAACTCCTTATGACTTTTTCGGTAAGTTTATATGATTGTAAATCAATACTTACATTTGTACACTGGACAAGACAAGACAAAACAGATCATACAAAATTTCAAATATTTGTCCCACAAAAAAGGTTAAACTAGGTGGGACCGAGACTGATATAGTGGGAAAAAATTTGAAATGTTTGGCCCCACCTAACCACGTGGGACCAATGCAGTTTGTCCTATCCAACAGGTTGAACAACGAAACAAAAAGTTCAATTTTTTGCCACACCCAAAAAGGTTGAACATGGGACAACTTTGATACCAATGGGAAAAAAATTGCAGTTTTTGTGCCACCCAAAAAAGTTGGACATGGTGGGACAGTGGGACAAAAATTACAATTTTTCGTAAAACCTTGTAATTTTTGTCCTATTAATGTCCCGTGTCCCATTTGTTCAACCTTTTGGATAGGACAAAAAATTGTAATTTTTGTCCTATCTAAAAATGTTAAACAAGTGGGACAAATTTGCATTGCCTTTTCCTCATCCAAAAAGGGGAATAAGCTGGGACATTGACATATGTCATTGGGGAAAAACTTGCAAGTTTTGTCCTGCCTAAAAAGGCAATCCCATCTAAAAAGGATAAACATGGTGGGAAGAGGAATTGCTCTTGGGCTCTTGTTTGTGCAAAAGACGTAAATGCCTTTCTCATCGTTATAATCAAAAAATCCCCAAAAAGTTGGCTTTGACTTTTAAATTATGACTATGTTTCAGAAGTCCATGGAGGTGCTTCTATAGGCATTGTTACTATTATTGGGATTGCTACTGGTAGTACCTTTGTGGTCATGATGCTTATTGGGCTTTTTGTATATGCTATTCGCCAAAAGAAACGTGCAGAAAAAGCAATTGTTCTAAGTAGACCTTTTGGTAATTTCTAAACTTCCCATTACAACGACTTTTTTTTTCTTAATTTTTATTTAATATTGAATTTTTAGCTCTTTTTGTATCGTTTTTATGTAGCATCTTGGGCTTCAGGTGGTAAAGATGGTGGAGGTGCACCACAATTAAAGGGAGCTAGATGGTTCTCTTATGATGAACTAAAGAAAAGTACAAGTAACTTCTCCCACACCAATCTGTTAGGATCTGGTGGCTATGGAAAGGTATAACTTTTAAAGATATTAAAATTAGTCTTGTACACTTTTAACGTATGTTATCAACATGTGATGTGACTGTTGTTTGAGTTTGTTTAGTTTTTTAAATAGTAGTTTTTGTGCTTCAAATATTTAGTACTTCAATAAAATACCCACATATTTTTCATAGTGGCAACACAAGGAGTAAATCCATAAGTGAGTTCTCAAGTTTTTGGCTTTATAGTTTAGGGTTTAGGGTTTATGACTTGGTTTTGTGGTTTAATACAGGTTTATAAGGGAACGGTACTTGGAGGGCAAGTAGTTGCAATAAAAAAAGCTCAACAAGCATCCATGCAAGGAGGACTGGAGTTTAAGACTGAAATTGAATTACTTTCACGTGTTCATCACAAGAACCTTGTTGGTCTTATTGGGTTTTGTTTTGAACAAGGAGAACAAATGTTGGTGTATGAGTTTATGCGTAATGGAACACTCAGAGACAGCTTGACAGGTAAATAACAATAACATTAACAATGACAATGACAATAAAAATGACAACGACAATGACAAACGACAACAATGACAAACGACAACTGACAATGACAATAACAATGACAGTAATAGTGATAGTGACAATAACTATGTCAATGACAGTGAAAATGAAAATGAAAATGAAAATGAAAATGAAAATGACAATGACAATGACAACTGACAATGACAATGACTGTATCAATGTCAATGACAATGACAGTGAAAATGACAATGACAATGACAATGACATTGATAGTGAGAGTGACAATGACAATGACAATGACAATGACAATCACAATCACAATAAAAGTGACATGAAAGTGATATGAAAGTGATATGAAAGTGACAGTGTCACTATAGTGACATTGGCATTGACAGTGATAGTACAAATAACAAATCTCACTCTTGATTTACAGGAAAATCAGGAATTTATCTAGACTGGAAGAGGAGACTACGCATTGCACTCGGTTCAGCAAGAGGCCTAGCTTATCTACATGAGCTAGCAGATCCACCTATCATCCATAGAGATATCAAGTCAACCAATATCCTTTTAGATGAATACCTAACAGCAAAAGTTGCAGATTTTGGCCTGTCTAAGCTAATTTCCGACAGTGAAGCACACGTCTCCACTCAAGTCAAGGGTACAATGGTAAGTTTACACCTCATTCCAACAACACTCAACAATTAGGGTTCTAACATTCTTCATCTTTCACAGGGCTATCTAGATCCCGAATACTACATGACACAACAATTAACTGAAAAAAGTGATGTATATAGCTTTGGTGTGGTAATGCTTGAACTAGTAACAGCCAGACCACCTATCGAAAAAGGGAAATACATTGTGCGAGAGGTGAAAAAGAAAATGGATACAACCGATGAAGAGGAATACGGGTTAAGAGCTTTAATGGATCCAATCATAAAAAACATGACATCATTGATAGGTTTTAAGAGGTTTATACAACTAGCAATGCAATGTGTTGAAGATTGTGCTACAGATCGTCCAACTATGAGTGATGTTGTGAAGGCACTTGAGAACATTTTGACTAACGATGGACTTCATACAGATTCTACATCTGCATCTTCTTCTGCTACTGAGTTTGGGTCTGTGAAAGGCGCAATTCAACATCCTTACAGTGAAGCTACGCTTAAGAGGAATGAGAGCTATGGATTTGATTATAGTGGTGGATACAGTATTTCGGCCAAAGTGGAACCTAAGTAATGTATTTCCGTGTCTAAAAAGCTAATTTTGTAATGATTATATGTATTTCGAATCATATATTGTAACATGTTATCCTCCCAACATTTGGGAAGATGTTTTCAGATTCAAACTTTCCATTGTCGTAATGCCTAACGGAAGATTGAAGTTACAGTTGTGCATGATATCTTCAGTTCAATGTAAAAAGCAAAAGGTTTGATCACATTACCAATGACACACGGTTGATACTTGAAGCATTCGTTGATTCCTTGGAATTGATTACTCAATCTCGAGAATTTGTTAACTAAAATGCGCCATTTTGCAAAACAATTAGGTCGAAGACCTTATCTATTAGTCAATCAATTGGTCTGCAGGTTCAAGCGGATTAGTTTAGGAACCGGTTCTTAAGAAGTGAACCGGGTCTTCATTTATATTCTTTTATTATATACATTAACACAAAAATGCCAAAAATAGGGTATGAAACAAAATTTTAGGTTAACAAATTTGAGTAGCAACTTTTTAGTGGTTCACTACAAACTGTGCATTTCAAAACATTCAAAAATGGTATTAGGCCTTTTTTATAAGCTTTTAATATTTATTGGTCCGGTAAGAGGTCATGTTAGATTCGGTCCAAGTCGGAGCGTTTGATAGGACCACTTGAAAGGTTTTTTTAGAACGACTTATTCACGCACACACTACACTACTCCTAAATCTACACATTTTGTCTATAGCGAGACTTGAACACTCAATCATTAGCTTAAGGACACATATCTTTCAAAACCTGATATTGTTGGGCCAAGGGTTCATTGGTACCACTTGAAGGCTCTTACTCGGTCCATACACCAAGTAGCCCCTTCCTCCACCACTTTCTGCCTCTCCAGCGCCTTCTTCCGCCACTCTTCCTTGAGCGTGGACCAGACCTTCATGTCACTCCAGCATCCCCCATAGTACTTATGCAACATTTATTCTTTTGTTTTTATTTTCTTAAATCAGATGTGGTTATGCTTATTTAGTGAAATGAGACGTTGAAAGAAATATTACATTTATGCTTGAATCAGATGTTGAATGTTTCTTTATTTTATGATATCAGAAGTCTTTATGTTTGCTGAAATCAGAAAAAAGGTATGTATACTGAAGTTTGCACTTTGTACGGTGAAATTGTTTTCTGAAATCTTGTACCATGAACTTGATTTCTAAAATTGTTTGCTGAATTTTCTAAAATCAGAAGTTTGTATGTATGCTGAAATCATAACTTTGTATGTTGAATTTTGTTTTTGTATGTTGAAATCGGATTTTTGTATGTTGAATTTTGTTCTTGTATGTTGAAATCGGAACTTTGTATGCTGAATTTTGTTTTTGTATGTTGAAATTAAATATATGAAATTGGTTGCTGAAATTTTGAACTTTGTATGTTTGAAATTATAAACCTATATGATAAAAATTGATTTCTTGAATTTATATGTTGAATTTTTTATCATTGAATATATCCTAGAATGATCATATGATTTTCTCTCCGACTCTAAAACCACTTCGAACGAGCTCACAAACTTATTTCTAGAAAAGTATTTTCCAGAAGCACGACTTTCGAGCCTTCACCGCAAGATCCTTGTATTAAACAACGAAAAACAAGAAACTTTACATACTTACTGGGAGTACTTCAAAACGTTGTGCGTATGATGCCTACAACATGAATTGGTGATTATCAGTTCTACTAGTGTTCGTTTGAAAGCATGGCACCTACATCGCGAAGATTGGTAACTGTTTCAAGTAGCAGATCTTCAGGAGATATGACACTATCTCAAATCTGAGCGCTTATCGAAAAACTGGCTATAGAGTCAAAACATTCCACGAATGAAGATGAGTGGTATCCTAATCAACCAAGCGCGTAATTGATATAAATTATCCTTATCTCTAAGCCCATATTTCTGAACTTACGAAAGTTGTTATGTTATGTGACATCCCCTATTTTCCAGAACCGATAAAAACTTTTCTTTACGCTTTCAAAATCATAATATCTTTTATTAGCGAAAATTCCCAGTATATTACAATTCTTTTGAGTACAAATTATTGTCTCAAATTTAAAAAAACTCTAAGGATGTTATAATCGATACACAACATATGTTACAGAGTAAAGACCTAACAGTCTCGAACACTGTTGCATGTCATTTCTTTAACCACTCTACATCCTATTCAAGTCAACAGTATTAACATTACTACCTGTGATGCATATAAAATGAGTGGGTCAGGTTAGGAAACCTGGTGAAATACATAGGGTTTTCAATCCCACAATATTAATATGATAATATCCCACAATCAACAAACCCACAACACCAATTGTTATCTGTTGTGACATGCTCTGCAGGGAATTGGTTGATTGAAGACGGGTTTGTCCTGGAGGTTTACCTGAGAACACAACACAGAAGAATCGTTAAAGGACGGCCGAGTGTTCTCCCGGGACATCGCTCCGACGATCAAGTTAGTTCTTACTCAGATAAATTTGGGTAAAATTGTATTTGGGAGAAGATGGATCTCTTCCTTGGGCTGGAAAAGATCCTTTTATACTTTTTACTAACGAAATGAGGTGACTCTCCCGTGTGGGAGTGAGACGTGGCACTCTCTTACTGGGAGAAGTATGCCCGCGCTAACTAACAGGCAGGTGATATCAGTTCAGGGCCTCATCAGGCCCTTTGTCACGACCTGATTGGTCGTGAGAGAACGTGAGGATCATGAGGAATATTCTTTCCTCGTGAGGGAAAGTGGGTCGTTATCTCGGCGCTGGCCTACTTGGACCAAGACTAAGTCCCGGCCAAGGTCTGGGCTTGATAACGTCCCGTCAGTGCTTCCCGTCAAGTTTAACGTGGCTGCATACGGTAACGTTAACAAGTCCCTTAGACCAGTAGGCTTCTGCGTTGGTGACGTAGCATAGTCGTTCTGGTCTACTCATAGACACCTGGCGGGCTGCTATTGTTAGCCTGTGTGGTTGTCAGGACAAAGTCGCCATTCTTCGGTGGTTTCATCATGAGACAGTTCGCTACTCCTTTTGTAGCATTTAAACCCTTGTTCCTCCAGGCGTTTTCCTCCTCACTCTCTGCCTTTATCACTTTGCTTCCTTGCTCCAAATAACCCTTTCGACCTTTTCTTGCATTCTTTCATGGCTGCCGCTCGACCTTTAGGAATGGAACTTACTGCAGAGGAATGGGAATCCTTCCAGTTCCGGTTTGGGTTTGTCCCTGAACATGGGGTTCAAATCCCTCTTCCCGATGCATCGCTCTATAGTCCTCCTGAGGGCAACGTCGGCATTCCGATTGCCTGGTTCGAGGCGGGCCTGCGTTTCCCTACTACAATCTTATTCAACTTGATCATCCGTGAACATGGGTTTTCTGTGAGGGAACTGACCCCAATCGCCATAAACAATATTGTGGGCTTTGAGCTTCTCTGTCATGCCCTAGGCCATCAACCGACTGTCCCGGTATTCAAGCACTTTTTCAAAGCTTCCACCCAGTCTGGGACTCGGACCCTTTCTCGTCAGCGATGAGTCCCTAACCTTATCCATGATAAAACAATCCAAAAAGAACTGGCAGGAGAAGTTTTTATGGGTGAACAGTGACCTTGTGGTGCTTAGCTATCCAAGGACCAAGGTGTATGTGGCCCGTGCTCCAACGCTCTTTGGTGCTGACAAAGAGCTGGCAGATTCCCTAAAGAAGGATAGCATCAATGGTGAGGACGGGCTCGACTGCTTCTTGGCCGCTGGTGGGATGAGCGCCGCTTGGAGGGCTCGTGGGAAAATGCCCGAGTTTTTCGTCGAGAGAGAAGGTATGATGCTTCTTTTTCTACTTTCCCTTGCCCCCTCCTTTTTACTCGGTGAAGTACTTCAAAATCGGTAATTTTGTTAATCGCTGTTGCCTCTGTTTTTTGTCAGGTGTGGAGGAGGTTATCTCCTTAGAGAAAGCTCTTCAAGGTTTATTCGATGGTGATATCGAGTGTCACGACGTTGACCTTGTAGAGACTCTTCCTCCCGGTTTCTGGTCGGGGAATCGGGGCTATATCTGGGTTTCCCGTAGGTTTAGAAGGTGTTGTTGGCGCCGAAAAAGAGTTGGATCTGCAGGAGGTTATTGTTACTGGTGCTTCTTAAAATGATCTTGTCCCTTTCGGGTCCCCAAGGAGTCTCCGACGTGTCAAGAGGCGATTCGCTTTGCTTGAAGCCTCTTCCGGTGGTAGCGTTGAGACGACTAGCATCGAGCCCCCGCTTCGCAAGAAACATAATTTGAGTTTGTTGGTAGGGGGTTCCAAAGGTTCCACCAATGCCCTCGATGAAGGTTCTTCGAAACTGCTGGAGGGGGCACACAATAGGGCGACTGAATTTCCCGGTCATACATCGAAGGAGAACATCAACGTGACTGACCCTGATCCTGCTGCTGAGGGAGCCAAGGCGAAGGCTGGATCTGCGCCTTCTCTAGGTTTTATGCCAACTTCTGCTGACAAAACTGTCCCTCCTCCTTCAGGGTCTCATTCAGGTACCTACATGCCGTCTTGGAGCTTAACCCCCAGAGACCACGTGTCCGACCATGACACAACTCTTGAGTGGTGTCGGCATGCTTTTCCCCTTTATGCTCATCTCCACTAACAATGATAGTCTACCTCGAACAGATGAATGCTACGATCCATCGCAGTCTCACAACACTTCTACCCAATCATGATTACCACCCCAGGTTTCATCATTACCCAATGTCCTGAATCGAATCTACATCAGTCAAGAACATGCAACGAGGCTCTACACGACTCTCAGTCGGGGTCCATCCACAAACCTGCTATGCATAATAAGAAAATGTCGACCAACTATCGGGAGTTTCTTTGAACTCCCACTTACAAAACCTCGAACTAAACGGTCAATTGTGTCGTCTCTATACCTAACCAGGATGCGAAACTTGTCCTAGTTCCGCACCCGATCCAATTCCTGGAAATTCTGATTGATTCTCCCCCACTTGGATTCGGCAAAGCTCTTTCGTCCTATAAGTCTGATGGATTACCAACCCATCGAACCTCATATAATAGGCACTGCGTATAACCTGTGATTACCAATCTAACATTCCATGACTATCCAAATCTCAATGATTTCCCAACTACTAGAATCTGGGGGAATGCTCTTGAGACCTTAACCAATCTGATGATCCAAATCACCTCTCATGGCACCATGACATTTCCTTGAGTTCTTATGCATGCGACTAATAACTGTAACCCTTGCCATGCACTGACGAACCTCTATTCTAATTTCTATCATCAAGGAATCATTAAACTCTAAC